TCGGCGGCCATAGCCTACCTAGTGTGGAACTGCGGTGGCACAAGTCTCCACTTCCTGTCGACGGTGCGAGGTGGATGGGGGCGCAAGCGCAGGCCTCGCCCGCCTCCCCTTCCCACAACGGGTGAGGTGGATGAGGGCACGACGCAAGATGGTGGCGCGGCGCTGGGCACGGAGCAGCGTAGGCTGGGGCCGGGTGCGGCGCCGCCGCGCTGGAGAAGGCCGTGGCGGGCGGGGGCGCTACCCGCAGCGAGTAGCCCCTGTGATGGAGAAGATGAGCGGCGCTGGTTTTCTTTTTGGAGGAGGAGCCTTGAAGAACTGAAGCGGAACGCGGAGTGGAGTGGGATGAACGGCGTCGCGGGCAGGAGCGAGCAGCGGGGAAAGACAGCAGCGAGGCGAGTGTGTGGGCGTGCGGCGTTTGGATAAGGACGGACGCCCGTGTCAGAGTATCATCGATTAACTATATATTATAATAGAAATTATAGGTGAAATATGTTATTAAAGACCACACCAAGTTAAACCATGCCTTATATTCGAGAACGGGGAAGTAGTGAAGACAGTAGACGAGGTTTCTATCGACAATTGAATATTTATGATAGCTTTTTTTTTTGTGAACCACATAGTATAAATATTTATAATAACAGTGTGTATATATATAGCATTCAACCTACAAACTTACAAAGGCACGCTCACACCCTATCTCTGTGCGAAATCTTTGCTCGGAGTATTTCGCACAATTTAGCAATGATGTGCGTCATTCAGCTCCGGCGGACTGATGCGACCCGAGCGTCGTGGCGCGGGTTAATGCGAGAGCGAGAGGCCGGCGAAGGGCAGGCGGGACAGGGCGGGGACAGCGTGGGGCGCGGCACGGAGCACTCCAGGGCCCCGGCCGGCCACCCATGTCGCCCATGCCCGCGGCAACCAGCGACACCCCCGCTGCCCTTGCGCGGGTGCTCTCCCTTTCCGCCCCCGTCGCTTGCCGCGGTGCCAGCGTGGCGTACCCCGCACCCGACCGTGTCCTCCCTGCTGCTTTGCTTTAGCAGTTGGCAGTGGCACCGTTCCGCTCCGCTCACACGGTTTGCATTACGTTAAAGTTGGCCGCGCGAATTCGATACGTTCCTTTAGTTTGTGATTGTAATATGTGCTAGGTGAGTTTAATGGTTATATATGTATATATATATATATCCATAGCACTAGTACGAGTACAAAAGATGCCGTTGATGAATTATACTACTTGATTGATCATCTGCATAAATAAAAGATCCTATATATGCACAAGCACAATTTGAGTATGGAACATCTAAGGATTGGTGAATGGCGAGGGAGACATTGAATCACCACCCAAAGTCCATACCAAAAGTTTTCCTCTTTTCCTCCATGGCGCCAATGGACTAGCTAGCTTTTGTTTCAGTGGTTTGCTTCCCTAGGTTTGGACGTATTCGTGGGAGTCAAGACAACTAGCTTTTGTGCTAGTGCTCCTTTTCGGTTTATATAAGTAACTCTTGGCGTTTTTTTTGCTGAACTGCTTTGCCCTTTTATTTGTCTCTTCTATAAATCTTTCAATATAGGTAAATTTCTAGGTTGGTCGGGCTTTCCAACCTCCTCACTACCTTTGCATCATCTGTTTCAGACCACAATCAAGGTCTAAGGCCTTCCCCAGCGTGCCATGCTCTGCGTCCATATCGGATTTGAGTCTCCATATACAAATTTGGTTGTGGCTCTGTAGAGGTTCAGAGAAGCTTGTAGAGTGCTCGGTGCCTTCGCCATTCAAAGGCCCCAGACAGTTGCTGAGTTTTACGTTGGACGTGTTAAGCACCCAAAAACATGATGACAGGAAGTCTATAACTGGAGCAAGAGCAAAAGCAACTTTGGCCGAGGGATGAAAGTGATGGAGCCATGTTGAACTGCACGTGTTTTGCCTTGGGTTGAGAGTTTTAGAAGCCTAGATGTTCCATGCCTATATGGGCTGTAGCTTTTTGGTAAAGCTAATAAAGTTTGTTAGCCTCTGTTGATGAAGCCCTAAACCATTTAATCCGAGCATCCAAAGTCATCTTTCTCAATTTCAATGGAAGTCCACGAAGTTAGAGGATTGAGGGTTTCAGGAACCCTGAGCCTTAGAGAGAGCTGTGGGGAGACATGGTGTCGGAAGATGATAAACAACTGGTTAGTATGCAGGAGACATTAAAGTAATTGAGCTTCGATTGGTTAGTGTCAATAGCGAGGGATGGCGCCAAGGAAGGTCGCGTCCATCGGAGCCCAACGAAGGCCTTGTTTGGCTGCACACAAATCCATCCCAATCCACGTGGTTTGGGAAGGATTGAGGTAGAATTTATGTGCAGCCAAACAAAGCCGGAGGCCAATGGTGGCGGGGGAGGGCGACCTGACTTGATGAAAAAATGCTAAGGGTTTGTATTGGCCATAGTGGAGGGCATCGGCTATGTCTTACTTTTTGGCAATTACATTTTTCATGCTAAATTCACATCTAGTTTTCGCGCTACCATAGGTTGATGGCAACCAGACTCGTTGCCTAGCTTAGCAAGTTGTCTCCAACGTATCATTGCCTTCCCCTGGCCCTTCCGTTGCTACGATGCAATCTGTCATATGGAGTGGTTCCACTAATGATGGTTCAATAGTCCTCTATATTCGTTTTAAATTATAAGTTATTTTATCTTTTTTAAATATATATAGTAAAAGCCATGTATTTATACATAGTGTATATGTAGCTACATAGCAAAAAAAAAAAAAGTATCTAACAGAACCAAAAGACTTATAATTTAAAACGGAGAGTACTACCCAATGCCCAATAATATAACATTTGATAGAGTAGAGATAGTGATTGTGATAATAAAAGTATATATGTCTCTTTTTTTTTGAGCAAAGCATATATGTCTCTAAGATACTACAGTAATACTGATTTTGTTTTCAAACGAGGTATACAATACCATTTATTTCATACAACACTCTTGTACCAGCAACTAGTACAAATAAAACGTTAATTTTGTGATTTTTTATTTATCTTTGCGTCATATATATAAAACTTTTATCCTTGTCTGACTATAGAAGCAACTATAAATTGTTAATTGTCTTTGTGCCAACACAAATCAGATTTTGTTAGGTTTGTAGTTTTGTCTAACAGTTTTTTTATTCTCGGAACCAAAAATCGCAGGTTGCATCTACATAAATTACAATGAACTAAAGCTATAATTTTAATACTCCCTTCATTATAAATTATAAGTCACTTTAATTTTTTTACATCTATTTTACTATGTATCTAATATAATATTATGTCTAGACCATAGCAAAATGGATGGATCGAAAAAAGTCAAAGTGACTTATAATTTAGAAGGATGATGTATTAAATATATGCAATAAGCGTTGCTGAAAGAAAACTAAAATTGAGGCAACATAAATTTAGCAAGCCCCTTCATTCGTTTCATGTGTAATCTTAAGCCCAAATGTATATCAGGCAGAAACTTTTTTGTTGATGGACTGATATATACACGCAGGCAAGATTTTAGCCGTTGATGCCTTGATTGGTATAGGATGAAATTATTTGTAAGGATATGATGTTACAGATTCTGCGAAGGTAGTATTCCAGAATAGAAAACCTAAAAATCATGGGGAAAATAGAAAGAGAAAATTGGTTTCATACCATCTAAAGATGATGAGATTCGAAAAATACCACTCAAGTTTCACGGTCACGTGAAATACCACCGAAAAAATAATCTGTTATCTGAAACTACTATTATGTCACGGTTTGAGCTAACAACTTGAATCCACTGTTGCTCCTCCATTCTTCCCACGCGAGCATCACTGGAAATCCCATCACTTTCATCTTCCTCAGCTCCGGCGTATGTCACACTGAAAAAAAACATTTGCACGAGCTGCCGTCGAGCCAATCCACACCACAAATTCTATGGTGGGTACCCCACTGGGTCAACAGGCCAGCAGGACATCTGCCCAGGGCTGTTTCTTTGCCTCGTTTCCATAGCGTCTTCTTCGAGTCCATGCTGCGCGGGTCCATACTGCGTGGATTCAACTGCGAATTCAGAAGGCCTAATCTTCGTCGGTGATTTTGCTCACGCTTGGCTGCCGCTGCTCGCGCCCAACCTGCTCACCGCTGCTCGCGCACAACCTGCTCAAGCTGCCGCGCGCCTAAGCGTGAGCAGCCCGCCGGGCCACCCTGCTCGAGCCGCCGTGCGCCGGAGCATGAGTAGCTGCCAGACCGCCCTGCTCGAGTTGTCGCGCGCTTGTGCACGAACCTCTGCTGGGTCACGCTACTCGAGCCACTGCGCGCCCGCAAGCGAGACGCCGCCGGCCGGCCACGCGCATGAAGCGTCGCCGCAATGCACTGCTCGAGCTGCCGAGATGCCCTCCTCGATGCGGACACCGTCGTCCCGCGCGCGCCAGCTGCTGACGGTGCCGCCCGACATCTTCCATGTCCGGCTCGAGTAGCTGGGAGTTGGTTTTTTTTTTGCCTTTATTAGATGGACAGGAATCGACGATGTCGACGCTGTTAGCTTCAAACCAAACAAAATGCTACTTTCGAATAACGGTTGTCAGCTTGTTCGGGAGGCCGTATCGTATCGTGGATTATTTACTGCTGGCTGGTTTGGTGTGAGAGAAAAATATTATTCCGGTGAAATTTACGATCGTTTACGAGCAAACGAACAGGCTGTGTACCTTTAGTGGTATTTTTCGAATAACGTGTGAAACCAATTTTCCCAGACAGAAAACACGAGGGCACCTCGCTGCACGTTCCACCCTCCGTCCCTCTCTTCCTCCACTCCTGACCCTCCAACGTTCCTTCCCTGGAAGTGGGTCGCCTCCCGATCTCCCCACACCGACAATGCTGCCGCGCCGCGCGCGGGCGCGCGGGCGCCGGCGCTGCTAGGATCCTCGCGCGACCCCGCGCCACGCCGGCGAGAACCCCGACCCACCACCCGGCGGGGCGAGGGCGACCAATGCGCGAGCGCGCCCGGCACGCGACCCGGGTGTCACCGATGCCGCCGCCCGCGGGTGGCGAGGACCCCGAGGCCGACGCGGCGCCCTCCTGCAGCGGCAGCGGCTCCGCCGACGAAGCCGACCCGCACGAGCGGGCGCTCCCCAACGGCGACATCTACACGGGCCAGTGGCGCGGCGCCGTGCCCCACGGCGCCGGCAAGTACCTCTGGGCGGACGGCTGCATGTACGAGGGCGAGTGGCGCCGCGGCAAGGCCACCGGCCGCGGCAGGTTCTCCTGGCCCTCGGGCGCCACCTACGAGGGCGAGTTCCTCGACGGCTTCATGCACGGCGCGGGAACCTACGTTGGCGCCGCGGGAGACACCTACCGCGGCGTCTGGGCCAAGAACCTCGAGCACGGCGCCGGCGAGAAGCGCTACGCCAACGGTGACCGCTACGACGGCGAGTGGCGCGCGGGGCTCCCCGACGGCTGCGGACGCTACGCCTGGCGCGACGGCACCGAGTACGCCGGCGGCTGGCGCGCGGGGCTCATCCACGGCCGGGGCGCGCTCGTCTGGGCCAATGGCAACCGCTACGATGGCGGCTGGGAGGGCGGCCGCCCCCGGGGGCAGGGCACCTTCCGCTGGGCCGACGGCAGCCTCTACGTTGGCTTCTGGGGCCGCGAGGCGCCCGGCGGCGCCGTCCATCAGAAGGGCGTCTACTACCCGTCCCCGGCGGCGACGGGCGACTCCCCCCGGGCGCGCGACCCGAGGGAGGTGTTCGCACGGGACCTGCCGGAGTGCGTGCGCTCCGGCACCGAGGCCCAATCAGCGCTCACGTCGCTGAGATCCCTCAAATGGCTGATGCGGTCGGTCAGCGGCCGCGGGAGCTCGTGGTCTGGCCGGAGCAATGGCTCGGGAGGCAGCCTCGTGCACTTCTGGGGGTCGGATGGGGAGGTGAAGTGCGAGCTTGGGGACGACTGGAGACGGCGGAGCGTCAGAGAAGGGAGGGGGCTGCCACCACCGTCGCCCGCTCTGGCTCCACACCTCCCCATCCCCAACGGCGTGCCCCTGCGGCTGTCCAAGAAGCAGGGGATGACCATTTCCAGAGGGCACAAGAACTACGAGCTAATGCTCAACCTGCAGCTCGGGATCAGGTGCATTTCTTGGCTGTGATGATTATCAAATTGATTTTTTCTGTGTGATCTAGTCGATGAGCTTGAAAATGCCCATTTGATATCTCACATAGTTCCCAAAATTATTGTGCGATGCGACATTGTTAATTAAGCCTTTAATACTGGCTATTTGTGACAATTTATATGTACTTTCTGGGAAAGCAATGAATCCCCTTCTCTCTTAACAATTTCTGTGTGTTAAGCCTTAAATTTTGCCATCGTGCATTGAGAATCTGTAGGTTTCTAGAGCTGGTCACCTGTAGCTCTAGGAAATCCTGGATCTAGAGTTACAGACATGTTAAGTGGATTTATATGACCTATTTCGTTTATATTTAGATTAAATAAAAATATTTAAATCACTTTAATTTAGTCTACAAACTACTGATCCAGCATAGATATTGGAGCTAGTAGAGCTATGCCAAACGGTCCAGTAAGGGCTTCAAACTGGAACAACAAAGCATGTTCCGAATTCTGATGAGTAAACAGATGATTGAGTGTTGTACATCAGGCTTAGCACTGCCTTAGGAATTGTTATCATTAGTTGAAAAACTAATGACACTATTATACTGACTCAGTTCTGATTCTGCTTTCTCAAATAGTTCTATATCAAGAGGGCATTGACTACACCTTACCTAATTTACTTTACCAATCATGCTTTATGCATGCACTTTCAGTTCTTGCGAATGTGCTACATATTAGATCAGATAATAGTTTCTTCATTCTTTTGATATATAATTTTCTTAGGTGAGAGGATTTGTTCTTATCTCTGGAATGTCATATTCCCTCCTGACAACAGAAATAAATTTTTTATTTCCTGAATGTGCTTTATGGAATAGGCATGCAGTAGGAAGGCAAGGTCAAGTTTTATTAGACCTGAAATCATCAGCATTTGATCCAAAAGAGAAAGTGTGGACAAAATTCCCTCCTGAAGGCTCAAAATATACCCCTCCACATAATTCTTGTGATTTCAAATGGAAGGATTACTGCCCAAAGGTGTTCCGGTTGGTCATCGCTCCCATAATAAAGATGCATAGTATATGTTCTTAATCATTTCATGGCGTTATGCTCATCAACGTATACATCTGTTCAATTGCAGGACACTCCGTAAGCTGTTCAAGGTTGACCCAGCTGACTATATGTTGTCCCTCTGTGGAGATGATGCTCTTCGTGAGCTCTCATCCCCTGGCAAGAGTGGAAGCTTCTTTTACTTGACGAATGATGATCGTTACATGATAAAAACAATGAAGAAAGCTGAAGTGAAGGTATATCTCTTGCTGTCTTTTTCCAAACACTTTATAAGCTTCTTATATATGCAGAAGTTTTTCTGAATGCATTATTACCTATTACCACACAGATGCTTCTGAGGATGCTTCAAGCTTACTACAATCATGTCCGTGCATTTGAGGATACCTTAGTAACAAAGTTCTTTGGCCTACATTGTGTGAAGTCTGGAACACACCAGAAGAAGGTTAGAAAACTATATTATTGCATGTAGCCTCCTCATCACTTATCCTTGCTATTATTATTTTATTTTTCCTTTTTTTGGAAACGGATAGCAGGAGCTATTATTCACTAAAGAGAAAATATAGTTTTACCAAGTTACAAAACTGATAGCAACTGGATTCATCCGGAACACTGACACCTCAACACCGAAAACACACAATTTTACATACCAATGCCTCATACTTGTCATTATCAAACAGAACATGTTGGTATTGAAGCATCATTTATTTGGCTGATTTTATGTGTCCTTCGTACTTACTGCTCAGGTTCGTTTTGTGATAATGGGAAATTTGTTCTGCTCTGATCATACTATCCATAGGCGATTTGATCTGAAAGGATCATCTCTTGGCCGTATAACTGACAAGCCACCAGCAGAGATTGATGAGTATACAACTCTGAAAGACCTTGATCTTAATTTTATCTTTCGGTTACAGAAACATTGGTACCAAGAGTTTCAAAGGTGTGAATATCTTATGCCTGATTCTCATGTCATTGTGACCTAAGGAGTGGTCAGTAACCTTGTTACTTTCACCCTTGTGCTAATGTAGATGTTAAATATCTTAAAGCAGGCAAGTGGACAAGGACTGTGAGTTCCTCGAGCAGGAGAAGATTATGGATTACAGTCTATTGGTGGGTGTACATTTTAGAGGTAAGGAAGACATCTGCATCTGCAGACTGCAGGATTGTTGAAAGGTAAAATCCTGACTTTGTTGTGTGCATTCGTTGAAGGTGCCATTGACATTGATGGTGACAAACCTGCAACACCTCGCGTTTCAAGATGGGACAGGGATCATTTTCGTTCTGATCCAAATAGGTAAAGATTCTAGTAAAATCCCAGCTATAGATTCCTAATTAGTCACTTTGTTTGCTTCAAAAAAAAAAATCGCTTTGCCTACCAGAACCCAGGTTGCCATTGGGTTAACTCGTTCTTCAGCCTTCTAATGTGTTAATTGGTACTCACACTTGTTCTTGCATTCTAGCAGTAATATTATTAATTTTCTTTGGCTGAGCAGATGGTCAAAAATTAAACTTGGAGCAAACATGCTGTCAAGAGCTGAACTGACAATCCGAAAGAACGATAGTGATGTTTTTGGAGAGCCAACTGGGGAGTACTGTGATGTTATCTTGTACTTTGGGATTATAGACATACTCCAAGACTATGATATTGGCAAAAGGCTAGAGCATGCCTACAAATCTTTTCAATACGACTCGACATCCATTTCAGCGGTTGATCCAAAACAGTATTCCAGGCGCTTCAAAGATTTCATATACAAAGCTTTCCAAGAAGATAAAGTAGACAGCTGAAGAGTATTCCAGGCGCTTCAAAGATCTCATATACAAAGCTTTCCAAGAAGATAAAGTAGATAGCTGAAAGGGTTTTGAGACACTGCGGCTGATATCGTCTGTGACTTCAAAATATGGGAGATCAAGTTGAGGACAGTGCATTGTGACATTTGATTGACAGGCTTGTACATTATCGGTTTGCTGCACCGTACATGAATTCAGCAGCTTCTTAGGAAGGCATCAGGATGATTGAGTCGCTGGAGCACCTGGTGGTCCCACAGTTTCCCGGAATCAGATTGGCTGTCATGTAAATATAAAGCAACATGCACAGATACGGAATTCAGTCATTCACAAAAAGTAGGAAATGTAACTTTCAGAATCAAATTATACATAGAAACATGTAATCGAATGTACCGAGCCTTTCAGGGGTTGTAAATGTTATTTGTCTCAGGATACCATTCTTGTCTTGTCTCGGTACTTTTCAATAGATTGGGGGGCAAGGCGGAGTTTTCCGATTCCCAGATTTGCACCTTCTTTTCTTTTCTTCCTTTCTTTTTTTTTAAACAAAGCACGACGAGTTGCTTATTTGATTGATAGAGGTACTTCACACCTGAGAATGTTGTCAATTCAAAATCCTAATTCGACTTCGTTAACTGTTTTTTTCCCTGAAACATGCCAGAGAACCACATGTCACTGCATTAAAGATTATTACCTCTATCTTGTCATCCACTGATCTGAATGTATCCATTCAGTTATCTGAATGTCTGAATACTTAAAAAGAGAGAGGTGTGTTGATTGTGTTTCTGAATGTAAGAGTAAGAAGAAAGCAAGGTTCATTGTATCAGTTAATTTGAAGGTGGAATATAATCTGCTGACTATATGTTGAGAAATCATGTCTTTGGCCTTTCCTATACACTGCTGGCTGAGGGCCTGAGGTGGACTAGCTCAATGCAGCTTAGCTGACGCATCAAACGCATCAGTTTCTGGTATCCCTTGAGGGTCAGCTTGTGGATGATGGCCATCTGCTTCATATGTTAGTTTCTGTTTTTTTTAATTAAGGAACATAATAGGCCTGTTCTCTTTAGCTAGTTAGCAGCGGCTGTGGCTGGTTGTACAGTACTATGTGAGATGGAAATCAGCTAAAACTGAACTGCTGCTGTGGCTGTAAATGAGTATAGTCGTTCAATACAAACCCACGGTACTTAGACCATACTTCACCATAGGGCGATACAAAATTTAAGCCGCGAGACTAAAAAACTAGACTTAAGATTCAACCCTACTCCATTTCGGTTCGCCAACCAAACTTTGAGAAACTCCAGCACCAAAATCTCTAACAAGCAACTACTGTCCTTGAGTGATGCATGGTACAACTTGAAAGAACTTGACCCTTGATGTGGAAGAGCTATGGCAAGCTCCGTTGTCCTACTCATCCAAACTATCCCCTCCTTCCAGCGGCAAAAAACAAGAACCTGGCTAGCGTGTCAGTGATAAGAGCAAGGACAACGCCGAGTGCCTTCGGTGAAGGCCCTCAAGACCCTAGGGAGTCAGCACATCACCTAGCTTATCTCGCCCATCGGTGCCCACGAGCATCAGTGAGCTATGCCGGTCGTTGCCCATTCACACCTTGGGCCTCCACATGTTTACGTGTCTTTGGCACGAATCTCCTAGACGACGCATCTAGGGAGAGATATGACATCGAGCATGCGAGGACCCGCCCAAGTCAGCTTAAGCAAATTAACCTCAGTAATCCCTAGAGCTACCTTCCGCACACTATACTAGCACAAGTCACAGGACCAAGTTGCATAAATACACATATGACCACCATAAACTCAATATTCAATCTTATGAAGAGACTACACAAATCAGCGAAAGTATACATGAAAGATATTATATCAAGTTAATAAATGTACTTTCTAATTTGAGACTCATACCTGACCTAAATGTGATTTGTGAACATGATAGCTATCCTACCATCTTTCGCCTAGGTTAAGAGTCCTATGTTGTGATTTAGTTTCTAGCTAGTAACCCGTGGACGCCTTTGAGCACGAGCATCATCACACAAAGCTCAATTTTAATCTATTTTTAATTAATATTTTTAAAGACAATCTACTAAAAAAACTATTTTTAGATCTAACCTTTTTGGTCGTGCCGGCATGGGACATGACCAAAATCATGTCATATGCATTGATGACAACTAACCAGGCTTCTCACGCTGTAGATTCGATCTAGGCGGTCATATAGCGCGACAAGTCGATTTTATTGCCACTCTGATTGGTGCGGCAGAAGGGGTGCCAAACCAAAACTCATTGTACGATTACTTTTTCTATCCATCATAACAAATTATTTATCAATATGAATTTGATATCATAAAACTCAACAAATATATTGTACATGGTCTAGACCATTTTAGGGACTTATACAAGCCCAAGTTTCCTAGGTTTTGAAATGTTTGATTTCAAAATAGGCCTCGTGTTATAGTTTTTGAGTGTTTGTTAGGAGAAACAATTTCAGTTGCTCTTTTTCTCCACTTAAATTCAATTAATAAACGAGCCCAAGAAATTCGCAAACTTAGCTATAATATCTGCTCAACTTTGTTTAACATCATAACATAAATATATATAAAATCATAATGTGTGGTTATACCATTTTGCTAACCTGTACAGTGTCATCTTTTGCATATTTTAAGTCTGGTAGAATCATGCAAAATCCAAGTCAAGGCTTCTCTAGTAAAGCTTGTGAAGTATGACGTGCGTGGCTGTAGGTGCGGCACGTGGTGGGGGAGACGAACCCGGGAGAGCATACAGCTCGGCGGGGCGGGCAGCGAGCGGGCGCGCGAGCTCGGCGTCGTGGCGGAGCAAAACTTCCGGGGGGCGTGGGGAGGAGAGAGAAACTTTGAAAGGATCCGGTTTTGCTGGGGGCGCGGGTCTCTGGATGGGGACAACACGTGCGACATTGCCGAGAGGAGGTGCGAGAGCGACGCTTTTGGAGGACGAAGACGACGACGAGGGGGCGCGCCACGACGGTGAGGGTGGAGGACGCCGGCGATGGGAGGGGGCTGCCGCCGCCGTCGCCGGCGACGGGGCCCTACGCCGGCGGTAGGTCGCGCGGGCCGCGGCGGCAGGGCGAGACCATAGCCAAGGGCCACAAGAACTACGAGCTCATGCTCAACCTGCAGCTCGGCATCAGGTAGGTGCCCACCTTACCCGGCCGTGTCTCATTTCTCCATCTCAGTGGTTGGTGGTTCTGACTGATGATCCCTTCCAAAGCAAAAACGCTTCGTTCACCACATTTATTTATCCGGTAATTGACGGCCTCTGTTGATGTAAATTATCGGGCATTTCATCTCATGTATTGCCATTGTCATAAATCTGTTGATTTATAGTATTTGGTTGGGGATTCGTTCTTATCATCATTGGATTGGAGATTAGATCATCGTGGTTCTATATGTATAAAAGCTGCAAGATTTTTTCCTTTTTAATGAGAACCTATGATTGCTGAAGACAGCAGGAGCCGTTCTTGAACAATGCCAAGCCATGATTGATGAATGGTTTGTTTTCTCCCCTCCAGCCATGCTATGAGATTTCAAGACGATCACCTAGTGTCTAATGCGATGTTTTGCAATGTTTTTAACGAACATGTTTTTGCCATTATTGAGCTCTATAATAATAGTGGCTAATGTCCTGGGAATGACGACATAGAAAGGTCTACCCCTGCCATTGCATTCAAAGGGTGGTTTTATGCGAACACCGTGTTTCATTAGACTGAAATTAATCGTCAGAAATGAATGCAGACAAGTATTTCAACGTGTGGCACATGATTGCACGCTCAAGCTTGGTATGTCACTTTTACAATGCGAGGCACCCCTCATTTTTCTATCATATAAAGTTGAAAGCATAAGAGTTTAACGATTGCATAGGGGAATGTCCACAGATAAGGAGACATAAGAGTTTTGCAGATTGTATGGGAACCTAAAGAGTTTAACAGCTTTATACGGAACCAGCTTTTCTGCATTCTAGTTTTCAACAGCATAAGTTTCGCTGGATAGTAGTCAGCATTTCAAACTCTTCTGGCATGAAGTACAGTAGCATAATAAGAAATATGCAGCTACCGCGTGGCAAAAGCATGTTTCTGCCATAAGTAGTTTATTTATCATGTAGAGATGCAATCATACTTAAGATATTAAGAATGCCATGAGCCATACGAATCTGTGGATATAAATATGTTTATGCCACACTCATCTTGTCTGCATGACAGGCACGCAGTAGGAAAGCAAGGTCCAATTACGCTTGATCTTAAGTCATCAGCTTTTGACCCGAAGGAGAAAGTATGGACAAGGTTCCCTCCGGAAGGCTCAAAATACACCCCTCCACACAGTTCATGTGATTTCAAATGGAAGGATTACTGCCCGCAAGTATTCCGGTTGGTCATCACTCCCATCCATAATATATGCGTTACACTTTGAATATGGTGTCATGCATGATCATTGGCAGTTTAACTTAATTTGTTCCGAACTGAATGTAGGACATTGCGCAAGTTGTTCAAGGTTGATGCCGCAGACTATATGCTCTCTCTTTGTGGAGACCAGGCTCTCCGGGAGCTCTCATCTCCTGGTAAGAGTGGAAGCTTCTTTTATCTCACGAGCAATGACCAGTACATGATAAAGACGATGAAGAAATCTGAAGTGAAGGTTTGTGTGTTTTCTTGTCCAAGTACTTCCTTGACTCCATAGGTCATCAGCGTTTTTGTTGTTAATCAACTGAACAATATCATATAGATATTTCTGAAGATGCTTCGAGCTTATTATAATCATGTCAGATCATTTGAGAACACTCTCGTCACAAAGTTTTTTGGTCTTCACTGTGTCAAATTAGCTGGAGCTAACCAAAAGAAGGTCAGAAATGAGTATTTATCTATTTATCATGGTATAACTAGTTAGCTGTGATGATTAGTAGATACTCTTTTCTAGTTTACATACCATGGCTGGATCCTGATTGTCTCTTTTCTGTCTGTACTATCAACCAGGTTCGTTTTGTCATAATGGGAAATCTATTCTGCTCCGATTACTCTATTCATAGGCGATTTGACCTGAAAGGTTCATCCCTTGGACGTACAACTGATAAGCCACAGACAGAGATTGATGAGTACACTACTCTGAAGGATCTTGATCTCAACTTCATATTTCGATTGCAAAAACATTGGTACCAAGAGTTCCAAAGGTGAGTGATGCTAGAGCTGATGAGAAACCATTAAAAATTTATACATATTAACGTAAAGGTTAAATCTGTTGAAGCAGACAAGTCGACAGGGACTGCGAGTTTCTGGAGCAGGAAAATATCATGGATTATAGTCTTCTGGTTGGTGTACATTTTAGGGATACTAGGGATAGGCTATTGACCGGAGGTTGGTTGAAATGAAAACTATTTTAATAACTTTTTACATGGTTATTACCATTTACCTTACAAAGTACATTACCGCATTACTTGAAGGTTCATTTGATAGTGACAGCAGCAGAGGATCGTCACCTCACTTGTCTAGAGGAGATACGGATCCAAACAGGTAAACTGAGACTCAATATACTTCATGTCTTAACCTATTTCACGAGCAGATCTGTTTGATATGTCCTGACAGATCCCACCCATATGTCAAAAACGTGGAAGCCAATATTTTTGACCATTCCCTTCATCTGTGCTGGCTGAGTTGGCTCTAGTTGCAAATTTTGGATGAATTAATGCTTTCCAATGTTAATGTAATAAATAACAAAGACTCTTTTTGGACAGGTTAGCCAAGATAAAACTTGGGTCAAACATGCCGACAAGAGCTGAACGGACAATAAGAAAGAGTGACTGTGAAGTGCAGATTATGGGAGAGCCTACCGGGGAGTTCTACGATGTCATACTATATTTTGGGATCATAGACATACTCCAAGATTACGATATCAGTAAAAAGCTTGAGCATGCGTACAAGTCTTTCCAATATGACCCAACATCCATTTCGGCAGTCGATCCAAAGCAGTACTCGAGACGGTTCAGAGATTTCGTATTCAAGGCGTTCCAAGAAGACAAGTTCGATTTGTGAAGACACATGGAAGCTTGGGAGTGGGAGCTACCCGTTGCCGCTGACACAGATAACCAGTGTTGAAATGTAGAGACATCCATGGCACTGCTCGCATCGCATTGCATTGCATGCAGCGCACGACAGAAGCTTCAGATGAAGTCGTCAGATTTATGAAGCCCCTGCCTGCGGACTCTGATGAGGGATTCAGCTGGCACTCATGTAGAGAAATAAGGCTCCAATTCGAGATGTCGGTGCATTTCAATAAGCAGGTTCAACAGTATTTTTCATAAAATAGTCGTTTGGCAAACTGCTCTCGCGCAGCTGCATTTCTACAGCTGCTATGTCACACTGCACCGTGTGGTGTGGCATAGCGCAGCGATGGCAAGCTATGCCTAAGAAAAAGTATACATGCATATAGAAATCGCTGATATTAGTGTAGAAGCTGACAACCTACAGAGAAATTTGTAATGACAGTTCAGGGATGTAAATCTTTTTACGAGGCAACAGATCACAGTTCTTTCTTTTATCTGATAGTGCTAGTAGTAAAATATGTACATGGAATCCATATTCTGATGGAATTGTCAGGCTGGATGATATTCTTAAGGAATTGTCAGGCTGGATGATTTCAACCGAAAACATGGTCTCGGCTACTTCCTCAGAAATCAGAATGGTTACAATTGCAAGTCCGTCCAGATTAGGCCCAAGTCAAAGTTTTCTATTTTTAACTACTCACTCCGTTTCAAATCATAAAACGTTGTCTTTTTCTAGATACATTATTTTATTATATATTTAGACTGTATATTTAAGTATATAACAAAAAGCTACATATCTTATCTAAAAATCTAGAAAAGTCAAAATATATTTACTCCCTCTATCTCAAATTATAAGTCATTCTAAAAATTTTGGAGATCAAAACATCTCAAGTTTAACTAAAATTATAGAGAAAATTATAAAGATTTATGACATCAAATAGATACTACAAAAATATAATTAATAAAGAATTTAATGGTACTTAGTTGACATTATAAATATTATTATCTTATTATATAAATTTGGTCAAACTCGAGATGCTTTGACTCCAAAATTCTTAAAATAACTTATAATTTGAGATGAAGAGACTGCGGAGTATAATTTAAAGAGTATGTCTACTTAACAACAACGTTTTATGCAGTTTCAACACATGAATTTTTTTGACACTATAGAATTAAGATCCAACGGTCTCCACACTCCTTCTACCTCCAGCCTCCAGTCTTCTTCTACCTCCAGACAATCACAAGATCAAAGATCACAAGAAATAATTTTTTTCTATGAAAAAACAAATCACAAATCGAAGAGGATGAGGAGGAGAGGCCTACTGGAGCCAGATCCGCCGCAGCTGGTAGTTGGCAGACAGACCGAGCTGCAGACCATGATTGGACACGTGCGGACCGAGCCGCAGTTGGCAGCAGGCAGAATTGGACGCGTGCGTGCGTTGCGCGGCGTCAGCGGAACGGAGGGAAAGAGAGAGAAAATCCATGCGTCTTTTTTTTTTTTTTTGCTAAAACACACGTACCTACGTTGTATAGCATTTCTGAATTTAAAATGAAGAGAGTCCCAGCTCCGATTCCACTCCAGTCCACGAGTCAAACGTGGGACGTCGCAGGCGCAGGGGCAGTGTGGGTGGAGACTGAACTATTGAAGTGAACATTTCGGACAGTTTTGTTCTAAAATTTCTATTAATAACCGGACACGTTCACTGGGTACCTCGCTAGCACCCGTACCTTCTTTTCCTATTCAGAAAAAAATAGGAACTGCACAGAAATCGGCTGGAGGCCTGGAAGACCAGCGACACGGAACCAAGCCACAAGCGATGAGCACTAATTGCAAGGATAAAACACAGCCTCAAGCCTTCCTAGAATTATTTATAAACTCATGCTGGGTTCTCATTTGATCCCTGTTTTCCTCATCCTTTGCACTAGGTATGAATAAACGGCCATACAAGTAGTCAACCTATCCAATTTCTATGAGAAAACGCACAAAATACATATACACCGCCACAACACTGGAAAACTTGTCTAAAGGGCACCACCATGACAACATTACATACAGAAGACTTGATCACATCCCACTCGAGGAGCTATTCTCACGCAACATGAAAAAAGGACGTACCCAGTGCAGAAGCTTCCGTTCTATGCAGGATCTGGGGAAGGGTGTCAGTGGCAAGGCTTACCCTCGCTTGTGCAATGCGAGAGACCACGACTCGAAACATGAAAGCTAAACCATATTGAAAAAAAAAATACATTTACACTCGCATTGGCAGTTTTCTACAATTGGCAGGCGGGGAGAAAAGAACCACTACTGAAGAATTTACAATCACGAAATTGAATGGCCATCCTACCTTGGATGGTTCCAAGGAGAGGGTGGCTTGTATGGAAAACCCTGAGGAGCAGATCCACGTCCTAAATCAAGACTATGAAGTTGTTCCATCAGTTGCGACCTTCGCTCCTTGAAGAAATCTAGTCTAGTTGTTAGTTCTACCAAAGTGGAGGATGTGACCATTGGTTGCCTCCCAAATTCAATGCCCTAGCATACAAAAGTATAAATCATCTTAGAAGCTACAGCAGCATATTTAACAGCAAAGCACTGCGAGTCTCGCTTACCTCTGCCAACTTTGGGACATTGATGGATACAGAGGTGTTCTCTGTTGACATACTTGTTGAGGCTTCTGTGCCTCTTGATTCACTTGAGGCATCAAATGAAAGCTTTTGTGTGAGTGGCCTCGAAGAACCATAAGGTAGCACATGCTGCTTGATGTTTCTCCATTGTGATGACTCCACGGAACTCCCCTGCAGACATGATTCAATGTAAGTATTGCTTGATGCAGTATAGAATCCACCAACTTTTCATCAGATTTAAACGGGAATGCCACACATAACCAGTCATTTTAGCATATAAAATTTCCAATGTACCATGTTCGCTTCTCTTATAATCCGTCTTTTTCAGCTTGTTTTTTCAGCCGGAATAGTGTTTTTCTCTCACAACAAATCAGCCGAAACAGTGTTTCGGCTTTTTTTCAGCGAAGCGGACGGGGCCGTAGTTGCTAATGGATGGACATGTAGACTAACATGTTATGAACACCAAGATAAAGCTCCAAAAATTTTCTCCATTTTTTACTAGACAAACTCAACTTTAGCACATGGAAATTTTGCAGTAAATATATTTTACCAAAACACTGCAGAACTGCGGAAGTTAATTTTGAAATTATAAGCATGAAACTCCAACTGCTGCTTCTGAGTAATTTGGTCACTAACAGCTTTAGTCAGTAATCAAAGCATAATACTCAGGTATTCATTTTGACATTTTCTTTCACTTAATTTTTGCTTACCAGCTGGACAGGTTTTAATTTTCTAATTATACCAGCCATGAACAATAAGAGTGCCATTATATTGCAAAACTGAAAGTTTGTAATCAACATAGCATTTCAAAAGAGAACTGAATCATGCATGCTAACAAGTCAAGCTCTAGGAATTGAAATTTCAAAAGAATTTCGTAACATACCTCATTTCTCTGCTTCTCTTGATTGCAGAAAGCAAGGTTCATATCAAATCCTTGTTGAACAAAGTTGCTGGTAGATCAAAAGTATCATGTCAAAATCTGGGGAACATGGGATATACAACACATGTCTACAAGCATTGACCTGCTAATTAGGAATGCAAGAATAGTCTAATCCAGTGACATAGCGCATACAGTAGAATCTATAATACAACTTACAACCAAGTTTAGCATGACTCGCTGATATTTAAGAAATGAATTCCCTTGAATGGCTTAGAACTACAGACAAATCCCCTTGGATTCGGACAGTTGCAAGAAACCAAATTCCAACATCGCCTGAGATCTAGAAACATCCCAAAGGATCCTACAAAATTCCTCCATGAATCCTTTGTTCCAAAGGGGTAAAAGAAAGAATTTGTATCTTACTGCTGTGAGAAGTGACCAGGAAGGCGGTGATGACGATCATTTGCATCCACTACAGAGCCATACTGGTGTTGACGTTGTTGATTGAGTTGGAGGTGAAGCTCTGCAACCTTCTGTTTTAACCTTGCAACATCAGCTTCAGCGAGAGCAATCTCCTCAAGCTCTGCCCTTGTCTAAAGTACACAGGGAAGAAAATGAGACTCAATAAAACAAAGCCAGAAAGTTTAGGTATGGTAGAAGGTAGTAAGGTACCTTCACGTCCATCGAACGAGCACTTGAAAACTGTCCAGAAGACATGCTCAAGCCAACCTCCAATGCAGCTCGCAGATCCCTCTCAGCTTGTAGCTGTTCTTGCAACCTGGAGACCTACAATTATAACAGTTGTAGAAAGTACTATTATAAAAGTTATAAAACCATGTACACATCTGGATTATTCAACAATAATATCAGCAGCAAAATAAAGGGGAAAGTACAGATTTGACACCCCCAACTTTTGGATTATGTTCAGTTTAAGCCTTGAATTTAGCACGGGTACTATTTTTTGCCCCCTTGATTATTGAGTTGTGTGCGATTCAAACCTTCCATATAGCTACCTTATAGGTTATAAGTTACTGACAGATAAAAGACCATCTATAATTTCCATCTATAGGCAGGACCACCCCAGCCTAGCAGGGACACAGATTTTCAAGGCTATGCTTCCTCAGACTGTCATCCCCCCACCAAAAAGAAATAAGGTAAACCTCTTTCCATTCTTTCCTAGCGACCAAGATTTTCACACTTGTGTCTAGGCTGCAAAATTTCATATAGAACGCTACTGAAGTGAGGGATTCATTTTCAACGCTACTGAAGTGTTAGAGAGATTCATTTTCAATAAAAATCCAAAAGCAGGTTTCCTAGTGAGATGCAAGAGAGTTCTGTAGTGTTCTTGCTATTCTCCTCATGTGCTATTCTCCTCATGTGCACCCCCCCACCCTCCCAGGGGCGCCCCTTCTTTTATGTTGTAACCTCATCGCAAGATCTTTCGGGCCTGGAAATAGGCCATATAACTTAAATTTCTTTTTCCACCT